AGGGTGTAGGGTTGAGGGTCTAGGTTTTAGGGTCTAGGAGAAAGTTATTATAAAATACAACACTGTTTGTAGTCCTTCTATACTGATAAAAACTTCTCAAACCCTAAACCCTAAAGCCTCAACCCTCAACCCTAGACCCCTAAACCTTAAACCCTAAACCCTAAACCCCTAAGTCCCTTGAAGCCGAAAGCATGAAGGCCCAGGAGATTCGGTAGCGTTGTTTCAGGCGCTTCTGACTGCGCCTTGAACTCCCTAGGCCAGACTCAGTGGCTGTGATAACCCTAAACCCCAAATGCCACCTCCTAAACCCCAAGCCCAAGACCCCAAACCCGGCCCCTTAAGTCCTCAACCCTATACGAGCTGTGATGATCCCAGCTCCCCTGACCCCCAGAGGCTCTTGCCCGAATTGGCTTCGTGGCGCATTGCAATAATTCTTCGGTCAGGCCTGGACCTTGCGAGCCCGGAGGGCCGAAAGTGTCTTGAGCCGCTCGAGCCATCCGTCTTGGCTGGGTCAAGTTGCAGGGGTTCAGGCTAGTAGTTCGGGTTTAGGAAGTTGAGGATTTGTACGGTTTAGGGTTTAGGATTTTAGGGTTTAGGGTTTAGGATTTGGGGTGTTCTGCTGCCTGGGATATATTCAATCAAAGAGGCTAGAAGCAGGAGGTTTGAAATTCCAGTTGCAGGAGATACTGGTCTACCAGCTTCCAGTCCAAGACCATAGTGTTGTATGACAATATGGGACTTTCCGAAAATAGGGGACCCCAATATAGTACCCTATACAGTAGGATCCTTATTATAAGGACCCCAAATAGGGTACCCCTTATTTTCGGAAACTCCCATATCAAGCTGGGGGCAGCGATCGAGCCGAGCAGTAGCACAAGAGTGAAACAGCTGCAGGACATACCTAGCGGTCGGCATTGTGGAGTTTTCGAGAGCATACACTTGTGTGACTGGCGTTCGCGGTTGGTGGGGGGGGGGGGCGGGTATTCATGTTACAATCGATCTATTTTAAGGCTTCTGCCATCTTGGGATTTGCTTGGGCGTTGCGGTCCAGACAGGTCGCCTACACCCCACGTGCTCGGGCCCTTCTAACAGAAGTCACTCCATCTTGCGGTTTAGGGTTTAGGGTTTAATTTTAAACGCTGCGCGTCGTCCGCCTCGGCCCGGCCGTATGTTGGGAGGAAGACATGATGCCAGGTCTGGGGCTTTTGCTTTCGCAGGATAT